AAGAAACGAAGTACTATTTGGTACAATTCATTAGAATTTTAAATAAACAATCAATAACTTTCTGAAAAACATGTCATATTTGCATCACTACTTGTATCACACGTAATAATTAGCTGATTTGTTTATATCACTATCAATAAATTGGAACTGAGCACAGTTAATGTATGTTTTCTTACTTCTATTACCTTTAACAATTTGACCTTAATTAACCCCTAGTATAGTACAATTCGCCTCTCTGTTACTCGGTACTCTTGGACATAATTTTAAGTATACAAAATCAGACCAAATGTTCTGTCGCGATAACCATGATTTTTTCGTGGTAAATCAAGGTTTTTGAGCACTGACCTTTGACCTTATGAGTCAGAAATTTAAATTCATCTCCTAACGATTGTGCATACAAAACTCAAATTCACTTGACTGTATAAATGATTCATTCACAAATTCGATAACCAAAGTACTGCAACACATGGTACATACAAAAAATAAGGTGAACATAAACAAAAATTGAGAAAGTATTTTTGATATCATTTTCCGTGCAAGAATGATCCAGATTTTTTTGTAATTTCTTTCATTCATTATAAATAACAAAATGAATGTGGTCTGCATCATTCCTTGGGAATACACTCTCACCACACACATTTTCAGATTTTGTTTACAATCACCCCAGTATTCACTCCATTTCATGGACTAATCTGTGATTTCAATGTACAGTGACCTTTGGCCTTTAACCTTTGAACCACCTTTTCATATTTATATGGTTGTTCTTAACATTATAAGAATGGAGAAGCATATCATTCTCTAACCTGGTTGTAGACATTGAGCATAATGTGATATGATCACCGCTTGGAGTAAAGAAGTTCACCCTAGCGTTATCGGCGTGGACTATCTTTAGGTCGGTAGAAAACGGCTATTGATGACCAAAAGCACAGTGGCGATGCTGAAAATCTCTTCTGAACACGTGTACCTGAATGAAATAAGGTATTAATGGGGGGGGGGGGGGGCTGAGAAAGAATTAAGGAGAGAGAGCTAGACAAAAATAGACAAGAAAAGCTAGGCCGGCAGCCAAGTGATAAAGTGACTCAGAATCCTACTTAAAAGTCTTTTTTTACCTGGACCTTTTAAGTTCCAGGCATCATCAGTGGTTACACCATTAACCCTATTTAGCCCGGGGGGGGGGGGGGCTTGAGAAGCCCCCCCCCCCTCGACATTTTTCGCGATAATTTTTTAACGCAAGAAAATCTTGCACTGAAATTTTGTGACTTTTTTCTTTCGAGTCTTGCGCAACTTTTGAAAGAAATTTTTCGAAAATCGGACCTACCATTACAAAGTCACGTGTCCTTTTGTCTTCGCATGTCAGCCCGAAAATCGCTCATTTTTGTGATTTGTGTACAAAACATATGGAAATCTCATTTTTTAAATAAAGAGGTAAAACATTGGTTATTTGGTCTTGTTTAGATTTTAGGTGTTTATTTTGGGGTCAAAATAGTTGAATTATAGTTGGAAATGAAATAAAACAACAAAAACAATAAAATACATAAGTTAAAAAAACAAAGAAATACATAAGAAATTATCAAAACAATAGATAACATAAGGAATAACCCTGGTTTTTCAAATTTTTGTGTTGTATTATTATTCCAAATGGTCTAACAAATATATGTAGTGAGAAAGAATGCTTAAATATGAATAATGTCTGATTTATGGGCAAAAATGTGAATTTAATGACCTTATTTGCATAAATTACCATAAATATGCAAATGAGTGAATTTTTCAAAAAAATTGAAATTACCATAGTATTCTATACACTTCACTTGACATGTATGCAAATTTTCGCGGCGATCGGGCGTTTCACGGCCGAGATCATGGGGGGGGGGCCTGAGAAGCCCCCCCCCCCCCGGGCTATGCAGTTTCAAAATAGCCCGGGCTAAATAGGGTTAACACGCTTCTCCTCCACTTACACACACCCTCATGTCCAGTGGTGGATTGGGGGAGGAGGAGGGAGTACAACCACCCCAAGTACATACCTCCTCTCTACACGAACACACACACACATACATACACAACCTCCAAAGTGGGAATTTGGATTTTATACAGGGAAGTGAGATATCACCAACTAGCATAATTTTAAACTAATACTATTTGTATCGAAAAAAATGTAAAAGCTATATTAAGAGTGTTATTTAAAAAAAGATTGTAATGGGAGAATGCAATAGATAAACAATAGATAAACAATAGATATGGATATATAGGGAAACACACATAAGACATGACCCCACATTCTATTCGCAAAATCACTATTGATGTACCCACAGTTCCCCCACATCCAATGTACCGAGTCGTCAGCAATTAAATACATAGTCGTGTCCCCACATTCAATCTACCAAGTCACTACCTAATCGGATGCAATACAAACACGATCACTGTGCCATGTCCCCATATCCAATTTACCAAGACATCAGCTATCAAATTAAATACAAACACATTCAATATGCCATGTCCCCACATCATATGTATCAAGTCATCAGCTATCAAAAGCAATATAAAGACATTCAATATGCCATGTCCCCACATTCAATGTACCAACTCATCACATATGAAATGCAATCAAAACACAATCAATGTGCCATGTCCCTACATCCAATGTAGCAAGTCATCAGCTATTAAATGCAATACAAATACATTCAATATGCCATGTCACCACATCCAATGCATCAAGTCATCAGCTGTATCAAATACAATACACTTTCAAGAAGTCATGTCCCCACATCCAATGTATCAAGTCATCAGCTATTAAATGCAATTATACAAACAGATTCAATATGCCATGTCCCCGCATCCAATGTATCAAATGCAATAGAAACACAGTCACTATGCAAAGTCCCCACATCACATATACCAAGTCATCAGCTATCAAATACAATACACATTCAAGATATCACGTCCCCACATCCAATGTATCACGTCATCAGCTATCACATGCAATAAAAACACATTGATGTGCCATGTCCCACATCCAATCTACAAAGTCATCAGCTATCAAAATATTCAATATGCCATGTCCCCACATTCAATGTACCAAGTCATCACATATGAAATGCAATAAAAACACATCCAATGTATCAAATTATCAGCTATTAAATTCAAATACAAACACATTCACTATGCCATGTCCCCACATCCAATGTATCAAGTTATCAGCTATTAAATTCAAATACAAACACATTCACTATGCCATGTCCCCACATCCAATGTTCCTAGTCATCAGCTATCAAGTGCAATACAAACACAACCAATGTGCCATGTCCCCACATCCAATGTATTAAAGACAAATAGAAAGAAAGAGGGAAAGTAAGAAAGACCTGCCAGTGTCACAAAATAATGAGGTATCAAAATATGCTCATCTGACCGTGATTAAATACCTAGGGCCCTAAGGGGGGCGGGATGCTCATCTGACAGTAATTTATTGCCTAAAACCCCTTAGCTTACAGGGGCTCTGCCCGCTAGACCCCACACCAATTGGTGACCTGCTAGTACGTGTCACAAATAAGGTATAAAAATATGTTCATCTGACCATAATTAAATGCCTGAAAAACGTTCAGCGGGGCCTGCATGTAAGAGTGGGGTGATGCAGATTTGTTTGGTCTGCCCCCCTCCCAAACGTTTTTGCTCATTACGCCACTGCTGGTCACCATTAGGTACCAATATTCGGCTTGCATAATTTCAAATTTGGGTCCCCCCCCCCCTAAGAAATCCTGAATCTGCGCCTGCATGTATTGTGCCATTCAAGTCATCATAATTTATTCAAATATGACAAAGTGAATAGAATATAGTTTTAAATAGTTTTATTTCATTTATATAACAGTACATGAATTTACATATAAATTGCAATGCCTGGTCCACTTAAGTCTGAAGTAATTAAACCTTACAAGAACAACTGGCTTTTTCAATAATATAGAATGCACAGGTATCAAATGAATATAACTGAAAAGGTTGGGAGTTGTCACAGAATCTGGTATAAATTCAATCACTATTCGCCAGGGTCTTGTTGACTGTACTGGACTCAAGGGGCACGTTTGAGATGAGCTTCTAATAACCGAGCCAACTGTCTCATGCACATTTTCTGTCATATCTATCCTCCGTGCCAATTTTTAAAGCTCACATACAAGGTAATTCTTCCAGAACTGGGATTTATGATGTCCTGATGTTTGTTGGAGTTAGAGTTTTCTTGCAACCTTACCAGGTGACATGCATCTTTAGACAGCTTTCTGATTACCTAGGAAACTGTCCCAAGCATCTTCTCTGCAACATGTATCTTCTATAACATCTATTATCCATCACGTAGACGCTTGTCATTCTAGAACTGGGAATAATTCCCTGGTGGAAAAGGTGAGATCAGCTTCGGATTACCAAGGCAACCATTCCTGGCATATTCTCTACCATTCTTTTAAAGAAAAGAATGGTCTGTACAAAACTGGAAGAATTATCCTACTATTTGTTCTAAAAGAGGACTATATAGCACATCCTTAATACGTGATACAAAGATGTATACTCTTTATATCTGAAGTAAGATATATCCTTTTGCTTGATCTAATAAGTGAGGTCTAGCGGATCCGTAATGGGTGATGGCAGGTACCTCCTACATACACAATTGATCCTCAGACGATGCTCAACTCTAAGCGACACAATAAGCGATTTGTAACGCTCATCGTAAACGCTCATCGTAATCGCAGTTCCACGGTGCACTGTTCATGCTCACTTCTCCAGGCAATTCTCCTTGGTTGGCCTTCAGCTGGATTCGCAAACCTGTGTGCGCATGCTACGTAGACCCACTAGAGGTCAGTGCGTTGACCCCATTTAAACGCGTTTACAAATTGTAAACGCATCTTTTTGTGAGTTTACGATCGGCGATCGTGATCGCTGTTTTTCGGTGATTCTACAAAAGTGAGCATGAACGCAATCGTGTTTTAAACTAAACGCGTAACAGATGCCTGATTCTGGCCGTCAAAATCAAGCATGAACGCGCCCTAAGTGAGTCCCATCTCAACGATACCAGATGATGGCCAGCACTACTCATCCCCATGACTGGTCCTCCAATAATACCAGTCTTCTGTGTAACTCCGATCAGTTACCGGCTGACTTGCCGACGCCCTTAGGCATCTTCTTGCTTGATGCGTCCTCTAGTTCCTTGGCCTTGTAGTAGTGTGGAGCAGCCTCTAGCAACCAACCGTTCTCTATCTCTATCACCTACATCGTAGAATATAAGGGCAGGATTAGAAAAAGTATATCAGATGCTGATTAAAGAAAAAAAATGTTTAATATTCAAGATCAAGTGCCTCTGAAAATGGTTGAGACTTCTAGCGCAACCATCTCAATTGTTTTACAGTAAATACTTTGTCTATAGCAAATGTATATCATGCTTTTGTACTTAAAGCCTGTCTGTACTAGTTTGGGCAGGAGGGATTAGATCACCCAGCGTGGTCACTGACAAGTGGCTATCTCATCAACTCAGCTCTCAATTAGCAGAAGAAAAAGAGGATCGTAGGGGACCAACGGGCAACGCTTAGGCAATTTTTTTTCTATATAGAGGTAGCAAGTAGCTACAGTAGTGCAATGGGGATTTAATGCATATTTCACAATTACTACCGGTAATTTTATTCACAAACATGTACATGTACATGTTACTACTGCATTTCCTATAGTTTTGGGAAAGGCCCAAGGGTTGTAAGAATTCCACAGTCCTTTTTTTTTCGCCCAGAAACCTTCAGGAGGCACAGCAGGAATGAAAATAGAAGGGAAAATATAATTCAAATTGTTATACCTGTCTCATGAACTCCTTGGTTGTAAAGACAAGTTCATGATAGATGAGCCATCTTGGTTGTTCTTCAAAGAGACCGCTATTGGGATGAACCATGACTGTCTGTTGGTGCTTGACTGTCTTGTAGTTACCTCCCTTACTGAAGCGTGCAGTATGGTAGAAGAAACCAGCAGTTACAGCCTGGAATATTCAAAGATAGGGAAGATAGTTATTATTATATTCCACATACTAAGAATCTTGCTCTACGATTAGTCATAAGTAAATCACGTGATCAAAGATAGTTCGCCCATCATTGATGGGAGAAGCAAAAAGTTCGTTGCCCTTTGTAGATAGTACTACTATCTACAAAGGGCAACGCACTTTTACTGAAGATAGAGGTACTATTTACAAAGGGCAACGCACTTTCACTGAAGATTATCCAAAAGCGCACTAAAATAGGCGTAATTAAGCGCGCATTACCAATGAGCGCAACATGCGCGCACCGTACCCTCAAGGGGTTGGGTTAAACTTTTAACCTTTTTGGTGTGAATTTGGGCCTGATGTCTTTCATGCAGATTCATACACGTCCTTTTCTTGTTGTAGTTATATAGTTTTTAGATGTGGAATATAAATCAAATAATCACCTTTTGTTTCAGGCGATGGCAAACTATCACTTCCTTGTCGATCATAATGTAAACGCTATCTTTCCTCAGCTTCGCTTCGGAAAGATAGCTACATCCAGATCGACTCGGAAGTGATAGTTTGTCCCATCACCTTCACCAACGGTAGTTATTTGCTTATTATATCCCACATACTAAAAATCTTGCTCTACGATTGGTGAAAAGTAAATCACGTGAGGAAAGAAAGTTCGCCCATTATTGATGGCAGAAGCAAAAAGTTCGTTACACTGTGTAGATAGTACTACTATCTACACAGTGTTACGCACTTTCATTGAAGATAGATGTACTATCTACAAAGGGGAACGCACTATCACTGAAGAGTATCCAAACGTGCACTAAAACAGGCGTAATTAAGCGCGCATTAACAATGAGCGCAATTAAAGAAAACACATGCGCGCGCGCACCTTATCCTCAAGGGGGATAAACTTAAACTTTTTTGGTGTGAATTTGGGCCTAGGTGTCTTTTATGTAGATGCATACACGTCCTTTTATTTCTGTAATAAAATTGTTTTAGATGTGGAATATAAAGCAAATAATCACCTTTTGGTTTTCAGGCGATGCCAAACTATCACTTCCTCGTCGATCAGAATATATACCTCTTTCCTCAGCTTCGCTTCGGAAAGATAGCTACATCCAGATCGCCTCGGAAGTGATATTTTGTCGCATCACCTTCACCAACGGTAATTATTTGCTTACTATTGCATTCAATAGGAATATTTCCTAATTATTATGATATCTACATGAATTTTTTTTTTTCATTTTCATGATTAACATTATTAAAATTTACATCGTCATCGCCATCATTGTCATCATAATAATAATTGTCATCATCATCATCATCATCATTACCACCATTACTATCTTCATCATTATCATCGTCATCATCATCATCACTATCATGATCATTATTACTATCATTACCACCAGCACCATTTACATCATAATCATCACCACCATTATCATCAACATAATCCTCCTCCTCATCATTATCATCAAATCAGCTTCATCATACATGTTATTATCACCATCATCATCATCATCACCATCTTATCATTGCCACTATAAATCAGACTTGTATATTTCATTGCAAATCTAATTATTTTCTTTGGAGGGGAGGGGGCGGGGGACAAATTTCAACTATTAACATAAGAACGTCTCTTTATCCTACCTTTCTAATAACGACACTATCCATACCACAGCTCACAATCTCCATCTCAACTCTCTCCATGAGTCCCTGGAGCTGATCACGAACATCCCGCGCCCGTCTCATCGATCGATGCTGGATGAAATTCTCAAAGCACCACTGAGTTGAGAAACCAGTCTCTACCCACTGCCCAATGAGAAAAACAAGTAAGTATAATGAAGCTGAAATCTAAGTTAAATAAAAATTAATTTACAATGTATGATTCAACTTCTTCAGATAAAAGTATCAATGACAATGCATAAACTGTACCTCGTTCTGCCACTCGTATCAACCAAAAACAGCTGTACAATTATATTGTTATCTACGGAATTCCCAAACTTTATGTGATTCCTGACTAGAAATATATCATGTAAATATATATCATATATCATATATCATATAAATGATTCAGCAGTTTCTCCTAGCACATGAATTGCTTTTGATAATGTCAACTGCAGGTGTCAATGGCTTAAGCATTTTGGATCACAAAAGTGACACATCATGGGGCAGCCATTAATCATTCCTCTAAGGCTAACACAAGTGAAAAGAGATATTCATAAGTACCCTTTCTCCAAAATAGACCACAATAATTTTGTATCTTAAGAGGTACGATAATTAATTTCAGTGAAACAAAGTTGCTGCAAGGCTACAATGACTGTGAACACCATTAATCATGCTTCATTCTGCCACTATGTATCGACCCAAAACAGCTTTCTATGGGAATTCCCAAATTTTATGTGATTCCTGACTTGAGTATATCATTTAAATTCAGCAGTTCCTCCTAGCAAATGAATTGCTTTTGATAATGTTAACTGCAGTTGTTAATGGCTTGAGTATTGTTTTATTACAAAAGTGAAACATTGTGGAGCAGCCATTATTACATATTCCTCTATGGGTAACAAAAGAGAAAAGAGATATTTATAAGCACACTTTCTCCAACATAGACCACAATAATTTTGTATTTCAAGAGGTAGGATAATTAATTTCAAGTGGATGAAATGAAGTGAAACAGGATACAAGGTGAGATATAGCCCTAACGACTGTGAACACTATTGATCAGCATCTCTTTCGGTTGATCGATAGCTTTGTGATATATTTACATATACTCATTTTGGCTTGATCTGGTTCAGTCATCACTATCTGGATACTGGACAATCTGGGAGATGAATATTCTCATTTCTAGAAGGTGAGATATTCAAAATCTTGAAGGGTACGTCATCTGCAGTAGGGGCCCCAAAGATATTACAGTCTTTCTACGGTACGTAATCTTGTGTAAATTACTCATTCACAGAAACATACTGGCCATAAGGTGAACAATTGACAGGAATATGTCACCGCTGTGAAGGGAGCGGAAGAGATATCTTGGTTAGTGAGACTTTCAAAATCTCCAAGGGAATTTCTTCTGTAGTAGTGACACCCAAGAGATCACAATGTTCAAGTCAAGGATGACTTGTACGACCTCAAGGATTCCTATCTGCTTGTGGATTGCATGTGTTTTATCCTTGCTTTCTGGAGCATTGCCTGGGAATGACATAGCGGGAAAGGATGGAAACTGGAGCTCTGTCTCCCCCAGTGGATGCGAGCTTACGACTACCAACCTCGGTACTAGAGCTATTTGTACTCGTCTGGGTCGTCGGTCTGTTCCTCAAGATCTTCCAAGCAACACAATAGTACTTGATCTCTCCATCAATCTGATAACAAGCTTGTACAATGAGTCTTTCACCTATCTACCAGACATCATCACACTTGCACTTCGAAGCAATCAACTCTCGGTGATAGAAGACGGTGCCTTCGGGAATTTGGATAATCTCACAAAATTAATCCTAGAGAGAAACCGTCTAATGTCTCTTCCAGCAGGTTTACTTAGTTCAAATAGACTTCTCTCTGTTTTCCTCCTCGGTAGCAACAAGCTGAGTTCTATTCCAACAAATGCTTTGCCGTGGTCTGATAATATCAAGTTGTTTGATCTGACAAACAATAACATCTCCTTCATAAAACCCTTAGACTTTACACCCCTTCAGAACTGTTCATCGATACGACTATTTCTCAGCAGGAATGCATTAAACAATCTTCCATCAAATGCTTTTTCAGCTTTGAATAAAGTCAACGAGTTGGCTCTTTCAAAGAATACTTTTCAGGAATTTCATATCTCTTCTATTCTAGCAAACAATGAAATTGAGGCACTGTTTTTGGCAGGATGCAAAATACATCGTATAATTCCACTGAACCAAACTCATAACTATCTTGATGGTTCCCCTAAGATATATTTCATGAATCTCAAATTTAACAGGCTGAGCTCCCTCCCGGATTATGTGTTTTGGGGTTTGAATCAGACGAGTATTTTAATACTTAAGCACAATCACATCAATATTTTATCAAACAGGACCTTTTGTGGATTAGACCAGCTGGTTAAATTAGATATATCCTATAATTTTTTAACATCCTTACCCCTAGGCATGTTTTCCTGCAATAAAATGTTACAGCGATTGATGCTTGTTGGAAATAAAATTGCAAGCTGGTCCATTGGTATATTATCTAATCTATCCTCTCTAAATCACCTAGACCTGGCTCGTAACAATATCAAGAATATTGAGAGAAGCACCACCATAACATTTCCTTCCCTAGAATATCTGGATCTTTCTTTCAACAGAATCAAAGATATCAAGAAGTATCTTCTATGGGGTTTCCCTAATCTCAGAATACTGAACATGTCTCACAATGAAATACAAAGTTGCTATTCTCCAAAAGCCTTCTTGAATCTGAAAAACCTCAAAGAGCTATACCTAACTAATGAACGTTTTCAGATCATCAATGGAGCTTTCCGCTACATGGATGCTCTTTGCACATTAGATTTATCAGGCGCAGGGATGGAAATTCATTCGATACTCCAATTTACAAATACTACGTCTCTCGTGAAACTGGCTATGCGTGAAAACCGTTTGAGGAGCAAATATTTATTTGATAGATTGACCTCTAAATCACTTTTTTTTGGACTTAGATCATTGGTCAGGCTGGACTTAAGAGGGAATAACCTAGATATTTTAGCACCAGGAACTTTCGACCCCCTGAAGCGTCTCGAAATACTACTCCTCTCTCAGTCATCTATTAAAGTCCTAATTCCCAGTGTTTTTGACAGTCTGACTTCTCTCACAAGATTGGATCTTAGTGACAATGAGATCTCGGCAATTCCTGGAGATTTACTTCAAAGTCAGCCCAGGCTTGGAGTCTTCTACATAACCAATAACAAACTTGATTCGATTCCCAAGACTCTATTCAATAAAACCCCATCTCTTAACCAACTGTACATGCAACGTAACAGAATCACCACAATAGAACCTGGAACAGTGTTTCCTACAAACAAGACGATGAGTATACACGCATCCGGAAACCCTTTCTCCTGTACATGCGACTTGAGTTGGTTTGTGGAGTGGCTACGTTCAGGCAATGTCGAACTCATCCATCCTGATGACACACTTTGCTCACTCTCTTCCATCGAAGACATGGTGCAATCGCCAATCCTTTCATTCCATCCTGATCAATACTGTGGCATTAATATCCTCATCATCACAGGTGTGTCCTTCTCCGTTGTTCTGGTAGCCATCCTGAGCTTGGTGGCATATCGAAAACGTTGGTGGCTCAACTACAAGCTCTTCCTCCTAAAACTAGCCATATTTGGCTACGAGGAAATCAACCAAGACTTTGATGCCGAGAACTACGAGTACCAGCTCAACCTGATGTACGATGAGGATGACCAGGAATGGGTGGACCAGATCATGAAGCCAGTCCTGCAGGAGAGGTTTCCACATCTCCAGAAAGTGGCTTTTGGCGATGACAACCTCAACATCGAGATGTTCTACATCCCAGCTCTCCACTACGTCGTTGAGAACAGCTTCAAGACTGTCCTCTTAATAAGCAACAACTCTGTGGATGAGGCCTGGTTTATGACCAAGCTACGCATAGCCCTAGAGCACATCAATGACACCAGACTGGACAAGGTCATACTGGTTTTCCTTGAGGACATCCAGGATGATGATCTCCCGTACCTGGTCCGGTTGTTCATGAGTAAGAACAAACCCTACATGCTGTGGACAGAGGATGAAGATGGCCAGGAACTCTTCTGGGCCCAGTTTGAAAAGAGCATGAGAGCCAACAGGGTGATCAATAGTGTTATTCCTGTTTAACTCGACCGTTACCATTCACAACAAGGCAAACTAAATGTCATCCAACAAACATTAAGAACCTCCAAAACAATATTGGCACATTTGCTTACCGGCAAAGGGCTGAGAACGTATTACATGTTTAACAGTCAATATGTGTGCCTCTACAATCCACATTCGCAATTCCTTTGTCCTTTATGTGTATTGAAGTCCAAGGTATTTTGTCCCTTACGTTACCCATAACATCAACATTTGCAGTACATCAGATGATTCAATCAAGGTGATACCCCTACTACAGCTTGGATCAGACCAGAAAACAAGGAAAATTGCACTTGCGATGTGTCTTTTTTATTTATTGTTCTTTGCGGCAGCCCATTTCCATTAAACGGCTGGCATTAATTACGTCTACTTTCTTATGATTCCCGGCACCCAGTCATAGCCTATTTTTTTTTTGGCAAGCTTTGATTCATTAGCTTCTGTTTCTATTGTCTGATTTAAGCTATTTCTGTTCATTCTTGCGATTTACTTCTGATGAGTGCAAGAGGAAAAGATTCAGTATGTCAGTATTGGTTTCTATTCTTAAAGGGATGGTTGAGTTTTGTTGCAGAGGGCGCTACACAAAATAATATTTTTGTGAGATAATGAAAAACTGAATGTTAAATTTGAAAGAACGTAATATTTAAATGACAAAATCATCTTTGTTTGATCAAAATCGGTTCAGAGACGGCTGAAATTTCTATTACTTGTGTACCACCACAAATATTAGATATTTTGAAAAATTTGAAAAAACCGTTGAAAAAACCCGAAATAACGCCTTTTACGTCGTATTTCAGCCAATGCCGATGTTAGGTTTTTTGTTGGCATTTTCGTCTTGCTTATATTACGCACAACCAGCTGGCCCATGTATTGTTATTTTCAATTAAATAATTAATTCACGGTCACCGTGTTTTTTTTTAAAGTGGAGCTGAATTGGTATGCTTGTATAGGTTAAATTTCACACATTGTGGGGTCTGAAATTACCTTTATAGCAATTTTAGGTTAATTTTAGATAAGAATAAGAGCAATAACCATGCACTTTAAAGAACTCAACTATACCTTTAAAATTTGTAGTACCAATCGCCTCTTTATATGTCTTGATTATCGGTTTTACGCGGGACAGCGAATGACCAAATATAATATTTTATTGTTGCCTGTATAGGCAGGTTCTTACAAGACTACATGTTAAGGAACAAAAGTTGATGACTCAAGTAAAAATATCAATTCTAGTTCATATTTGTATAGGTTGTTATTCAGGTGTGTATTAAATAAAAGTTTGGCAGTTTGGCCACTGGTATTGTCAAGAATCTTGCTTGCAAGGCTTTGAATTTAAAAATAGCAAAAATGTCACAATGATGCCTACAAGGACTTCGTAATGGAGGCATAGTGCTACATTGCATATACCCGCCAAACGTTAGAAGACAAAATAAGGATCTATATTCTCTAAGAAATAAGGCGAAAGTAGGAATTTAGTGTATTAGTATGCTTTTCCAAAGAGGTTTTCTGTATATTTTAAAAAAACACACACAGAGGAATCAAGGGTTACCAACACTTTTATGAAGGTAAACAGATATGAACTAGAAATGCAATCGTGTCACAACGATGTGCGTGCAATGACGCCATGTTTCTACGTGTCAAACGAAAGAGCTTCTCTCGGACTATCCAGAGCAATTTATACGAAGTCTGTAGCTTCTGTGATATTGGAGTGACCTTTGATGGGATGGTAATGACTACGCCTACGAAGTTTGAAAGAAATTGGGATAGGGGAAAGAACCTAGGAAAGGCTCGCAAGCACTGCGTGCAAAAACCAATGGGATTTAGTGCATGTTCGTCATTGTAATAAAGATCGTTCCGGGGGCAAAAAGCGTGAACCTGATATGCCCCATAGACAATGAGTGTAATGCATGGGCGGAAAACGTACAGGATCTGTATTATGACCGGACTTTAATTTTTGTTTTTCTCTCTCTTTATGTCTCTTTATCGGACGTATTTGGTATCATTGGAAAGAGAATTTTATGGTTGTTATTGTAAACAACTCTCTTTTGTTCTATGATAATCCTGTCGAAACACGTGATTTTAAATAGATTTATAGGACAAAATGGCGTCTTAAATGCCTCCCTTGACCAATTTTAAAAATTCGGCCTCGAGGTGCCCTGCGTATCGCAACTCAGAATGTCACTGCAAAATTTTAAGGAAAGAAAAGGACGTTTAGGGGGCGAAAAGCACTCGGAAAAAATGACGTCATAGCCGATACTTGTTATAATTGGGCGGAAACTCGGCGGAATTCGTATAGTGACCCTTGTTCAAATGTGATTTACTCAAAATTTTCTGTGTGAACATATACCATACTTGGTATCATTCGAAAGGGCACTTCATTGCGGTCAGTTTGACACCATTGTCATCTGCGCGTAATGTCAGCGCCTATAATGCACGCATTAAAGGCGCTATTACGTAATGCATAGCAAATTCATCATTTTTGGCGATAAATTTGCGCTGACGTTATTAAAATTTACCAAACTTTGCAGACAGTTGTCACGTATATGGATACATGTGTCTGCCAAGTTTCATTGACGTACGTATAAGGATCGCCATTTTAGAGCAAGTTAATTGAAGTTATTTCTCAATTTTCTTGAAAACTGCATATTTGGAGGGCATTTTTCGCAAAGTCGGTCAGTGTTAGGGTATATAATTTTGTATATGGCTGGAAAGGGCATATATTCAAGTATCTAAATCCAAAAAAGGGTACGGGTCTGCCAAACCATAATGGAGATACGGCCACAGAAAGAAAGCCAATTCCCAGAACTTTAGAGGGCGCTATTTATGTTTTGCATAGCCATTGGAGCGTGAAATTTGACATGGCTATGTGCAATTATGAGATATAGATACTGTGAGATTTAAATATAAAACGGAATTTATATGGGAAAGTTATGGCAGTTTTAGATTATTTAGGGGTCAAATTTTCAAGACTTTGAGAGACTTTTGACGGAGTCGGTTTCAGATTTGAATTTTAAGTACAAAGATGGCATTTTGAAGGCCAGGTTATACGTCGCAGATTAAAGAACATCTCTTACACTATCTAGAGGAATTTGCTAGAAATTTGTAGGATCTAGGAAAGTGGAGATAGGAAGGAAGATTGAAAGGTCTTAAAATGGACCAGAAACGGACAAAATGGCGCCTGGACGGTTATGCATGAGTGATTTCGAGAATCGAAGAATGTAGTGACCTTGATGAGATGTTAGAGACTATGCCCATGAAATTTGAAAGGAAAAGGACATGAGGAAAGCACCTAACTAGGAATAACAAACACTACGTGCAAAACGAACGCGATTTCCTGACGATAAAGATGAGGAAAAGGAGAATATTAATGGGGCAGAATGTGAACGAAAACAAGGCAATGGCGAAGGTCGTCATTGCATTAAGTCCTGAAAAGAGGAATAATTGATAGCTATGTATGTTAAATGTACACATTTAGAATGTCATATGGATATTGCAAAATGTTTTAAAAAATTAAAGCTGCTGCAATTTGTAACTGTACATAATGAATGGTTTTTTAAATAGTTTTGCATAACCCAAGTATGAAAGCTGGACTGGTTGAATTATGGCCTTCGTTTAATGCTTATAGATGTAAGCTTTAATATGTCATATTCTCGAGTAACGTAAATTAGGATATTTAGGACAAATCAATTTTCACACACTTATTCTTAATTGTACATATATTATTATTCTCTGTATTTTGTCAAATTTACATTTCTGTCTTTTTGGTGGGATGTCAAATAAACTATAACTCATGAATTCTGAATGTTTAAACAGCTGAAGAGGTGTTTGATAGCCTTTTCGAATTTGGAGAATTTGTACAACTACTTCATGTAATAAAGGAGGCATAACAGTACACAGAATACTGTACGAATGGTAAAGATTGTAAATATATACATATTTTAACAATATAAGAGTTGTCAAGCATTTTTTTATTTGGAGCTTAAATGTCTTAACAAGCACGTTTACATTTTTCATAATAATGCCTATAACTACTAGGTAGTGGAAATATAATACCGTGCATGTTTAGACTATGTTATGGAATGTAAAGGATGTATATGTAGATTGCTGCTATCAAATATTTACTAAAGTTTTCACTGTCTTTAAATATTATTGTTTGTATACCAGATCCGAATTCATACTCATACTCTGGGCTCAGTTTTTTAATTTCTTAAATTGATTTAAATACGATTCATATGACATATCGTTTGTTGAGAGCCCCCCCCCCCCCCCCCCCCCTCAGCAACAAAGAACTTTGTGCTCATTTAATACGCCACTGCTACGGTGTTGGGTCTATGTGTAACACCCTTCTGTCTCTCAACAGAAGATACACATTACCATCACTCACAACTCGATTCTGAATCTATTATTACCAATTTCATTACAAACTCCTCAATTTATAGACAAACCTATCCTAATCAGGCGCGTAGCCACGGGGGGGGGGGGGGGCACGGGGGGGCACGTGCCCCCCCCCCTAAAATTTCCAGGATCGGTTGAAATTTTGTAGACCCCTTTTTTTGACCTCGATCGATTACATGTATGTGCCCCCCCAAACATCAAACTCTGGCTACGCGCCTGATCCTAATTACTTCAGATGTTAAATACAATTATTATGACATGTTGTACTTATGAGCTAACATAAAATTATTTGATATGTAATGAAATGACTGTAGCACATTGTTGTTTGTATATTTATGTATCAGATTATACCGTTTTTTAAAAACTTTTTGTACATTATTTCTACCATTGTTATCTATCTGTTTGTGATTTTATTTGTATCTGAAATTGTATCCCAAGTTTTGGTTGCAATTAAGGAATAATTAATTCTTCAAACAAATATTATTACCCGTACTGTGTATATTTTAATAATAGATGAGCTGTTTTTAGTATTAGTGAATGTGTAGAATGAATGTGTTATGATTACATTTAATTCTTAATGTCTTATAGATGATTAG